TTGCGAACTGTATAATATATTTATTCGTGAACCGTTCGTCTGGAATTATGAAGCCCCAAAGTATGGCATTATGATAAAGTATTGTGGCAAAAGGGGTGAAAAATAGTTGACGACTAGGATATTTTTTATTTGATTTGACAAGTTTATTGAGACAAAAGTTTACATGTCAGAAAAATGAGGTATCGTAGGTTATCCTCACACCTATATTAAAAAGTCCCTATGTGGGCTTACATTTCACATACAAAACATAGGTATATCAACAAATGAGACATGCACACATCTCCACTGGATCTACTTAGTGCATTGAACAGATATCTGTGTTAAGACACGTTTACATTATCAACAGTACTCTGTTATTCTGTTATTCATCGGCAGGTCTTGAGCCAGGCCAAACGCAATTACTTATGTCAAGAAGTGGGAAACTATGATTAAACAAATGGTTAAGCTTGACCGGCCTCGGTGTACATCTGGGTGACACTTTTCTGGGTTACTCAGTATCACTTATTTCGTTGTTTAAAGAAAGACTCCATCAGTCCTGTATCCCGCCCTTATGTTTCTCCAACATTTCTCGAATGGTTACCCATTCGTCTTGCACAACTTTCCATTTTTTTCAAGAGGCTTTCTTTCTCCTGATATTTGCACTTCAGCAGGAGTGACCTGGAGTACGCAGAGAATGTTCCTTCCACTACACTCGCTGTTATTTTCTTTTCCTTTCTCTGGATTTCTATTTTACAGTCTACAGTTTGTTCCTCTGCAGGACCACTAACATTTCTACATTTCATCCTTGCGTCTTAAGGGGGGGGGGGGGTCTGTGACAGCCTCCTCTCCTTGCTTCTGTCCCTCCGTTTCTCTGTCCTTAACTTATGCCCGTTTTTTTCCAATTACATCCATTCCTTGCATCAGTGTCTGCAGCATCCGGGTGATTGTCGATACTTCCTTCCCAGAAAAATCCGCTTCACTACTCCGCGGTTGTTCCTTCACTTCCTACACCTGTCGGTCGTCTTGAGGTTGATCGTTTCCCTTTGGCGACGACGCCACACGTGGTGGTCCCTGCAGTCAGGCATTGGGGACTGTAGTTGTAGCTTCCCTGTGCACCTCTGCCTCTTCCGCGATTCCTTGCTGGGGAACCGCCGAATTAAGCTTTGATTGTGGCCTTGCCCTGCATGCCAGAAACCTGGCATTGCGGTGGCCTCCGCATTTGCAGCAGCAAGGCTTTACCCTTTCTCCCTTTTCAATTTAGGCTTGACAGATCCTGGAGTCATGCTTTCTACCGCAAAACCTATATCGAGCATCCAGCTGACATGTCCAAGACTTGTGGCCCCATCGGCACATGATTAGCGGTTCCACGTATGGCTCAGAATCATGGTGATCCCGGCCCAGTTCCATGGCTTACCTTAATTTCTACAGGAAACTCATGACACAGTCCTATGGAAATAACAATCGTTTCCTGCCATTCACATCGGCAACATGCTGATTTCTTGCTTCGGGTCCCTCTTCTTTCTTCATTCCTTTCTGACGCACACACGTGGTGGTCCCTGCAGCAGGCATTGGGGACTGTAGTTGTAGCTTCCCTGTGCACCTCTGCCTCTTCCGCGATTCCTTGCTGGGGAACCGCCGAATTAAGCTTTGATGGCCTTGCCCTGCATGCCAGAAACCTGGCATTGCGGTGGCCTCCGCATTTGCAGCAGCAAGGCTTTACCCTTTCTCCCTTTTCAATTTAGGCTTGACAGATCCTGGAGTCATGCTTTCTACCGCAAAACCTATATCGAGCATCCAGCTGACATGTCCAAGACTTGTGGCCCCATCGGCACATGATTAGCGGTTCCCACGTATGGCTCAGAATCATGGTGATCCCGGCCCAGTTCCATGGCTTACCTTAATTTCTACAGGAAACTCATGACACAGTCCTATGGAAATAACAATCGTTTCCTGCCATTCACATCGGCAACATGCTGATTTCTTGCTTCGGGTCCCTCTTCTTTCTTCTTCCTTTTCTCCTCCCATCCATTCTCATTGCCACTCATACCCACACTTCCTTCACTTCTTTCCCTCTTCTGGGATCCACTTGCAACATGTTCTTGCCAGGTGAAACTTTTATCCTCCATATCTACATCGGAAAGGGGGGGGGGATCCCGATATGACAACACTAGCTATGCTGACACCTGGGAGAAGGTGATGAATTGCAGGAGGGCCAGAGGCACCTCACCCGTTGCCAGTGCAGGGGGCGGGTAAACACAGGATTCAAGATATCACTCACGACTGAGGACAGCACTAAAACACTCCCTACTTCTACGAGATATACACCACCACTGCGTGGACAGAGAAGGGGGATGAAGAAAAGGAACAGAAAAGGGGGAGAAGAAGAAAAACTTACAACACAATTTTTTTTGAGGCGAGGAGTTGGGTCTAAGGCAGGAGTGATCTCCCGACATTGGACCCGTCTCCGCCTCCTAGCCTAACCCCACCTTCACATCAGCGTGCAAGAGACTGCGGGGAGCAGTTGGGAGTGCCGTTAATTGCCTCCATGTTATCGTAACGCTATATGAATGTATGTGAAAATAAATTACACCCTTCTCGTTCTATTTCTTTCGTGGATGTCTAATAGCCTGATAAGCAGTTACTGGTAAGACCCACGATTCTGTATTTTTTTTTAAGAATAAAGACTATGTTTTGATTTAAGGGATTATGATCTTTATTTATTGAAAATTGTCTGCCGCGTCATCATCTAAGGTCATTAGCGGCGTATTCAAAATATAACGATTGGGTGGGGCTCGGGAGCGAAGCCCCCGGGTAAGGATTTTTTTGGTTCATAAACCGATGCTTGTGGATTCCCAGATTGGTTAATGGTTAAAAGCAAAAATAACTGTGCTAGACATATAATGTCATGTAGCACAACAGGAAGGTATAGTATTAGAAAGGGTAGGGAGGGGGTTAAGTTATTAATTAGTTGTATTAGAAAGGGTAAAGATGGTAAAGGCGGCGATGAGTGAATGGGTCAAGGTAGGATTAAGCAAGGGGGATTAAATCAAGTGAAGGAGATGTAAGCGCCTGAGGAAGGAGAACAGATTGTCAAAGCAGAAAGTGTGGGATTCCGGAAGGATGCCTGGCAGGTTGGGAGGTCGGTGAAGGGAGGATATGTGATGGAAAACAGAGGTATGGGCTGCATGGTTAAAACAAATGTGCTAGACATCAAAGGTCATATAACATTATGATAAAGTATTGTGGCGAAAATGGTAAAAATGTGGTAACGATTAAGAGAAGTAGACAGAAGAAGAGCATGAAGGAAAGGGAAGAAAATACCATTCAATATTAGTTGGGGCGAGAGCTGAGGTCCAAAGGTCTCCATTTATTTATTGAAAATTATCTGCCGCGTCATCTAAGGTCATTAGTGGCGTATATAAAACATAGTGATTAGGTGGAACTTTGGGGCAAAGTCCTAGTTTTTGTTTAGTATGGTAATGTTTGTGGATTTCCCGAAAGGTAAAAACAAATAAATATGCCAGGCATCAAAGGGTACACATTATCATGAAGTAAAGAAGGAAAAGGAAAAAAGGAGAAGAAAAGACCCTGCAAAATTAGTTGAGGCGAGGGCTGAGGTCCAAGGTAGAGGTGATCCCTACATTGGCCCTCAGTTTCCACCACCTAACCCCTCCTCCCCGGGGGCAACAATGAGCTTGGGATGGGGGGGGGGGGTTGCCAAAGGTAGGGTGATCCCCTACATTAGGCCTCGGTCTGTGTCTCCCAAGCCCCCCCCCCCCACACACACACACACAACAAAAACAAACAAGACGCTGGGGGATGCTGCTTATCAAGCCAATGAAAATACGGCCACTAATATTCAGTTGGACCGACTTGTCCAGCTCTGCATCAATGGATTATTTCTCATTTTCCTCGTCGTATCATCTTGTTCATAATATGTGAATAACCAATCTGAATTCTGCTTCGGTTTACATTCTGCAACAGATGCCACGTAAGTTTTCATCAAATTAATATCTCGTATAAAGTTCGTGTGCAGCACAAACCAAAGGTGATGAAGAACAGGTTTATTTTCTCTTATTTATTATAAGAAACGAACACAATCCGACATAACAAAGAAAATTATACACCTTCACTCACTGTGAGAAACAGATATCCTTCTCTTGTGCAAATGCTTGTGATATTACAATACTACAGAAACTTCTTTACTACAGAAACCTCGCCCACTTCATCTTCGCCACCTTTAGACAGTGGCTATGCTTGAGTGTTACGGCTTCAATACATCCCATTACCTACACTAATTTAATCACTGTAGCTCAACATATGTACAAATGGATATCGTTTACCGTACATTTAGTTTTAGTCTTCTCTCCCCAATAGCAACACCATTGTTTGATTTTACAAATCTCCGGACAAACTTTTGACTAACCGTTCACAGTCCATGAAAAAGCTCGAGCCTATGTGTACATACAAATACATTTATACATTATATATATATGTATAATTACATATATATGTAGTGATTATATATATATATATATATATATATATATATATATATATATATATATATATATATTATATATACATACATACATACACAGACAAATATACATACATCATACATCTGGCTGCCTTTTGTTTCTCTCTCAGTATAGGAAAATGCTAAACGAAGCAATGGTAGAATATATCCCAATTATATACCCAGGGGAGAAGTTGGGGAAGAATTTTAGCCAGAAGAGGAATCGCAAAAAGCTATATCTTGTACAGTGAATACGGATAGATACAAGCATACCCCTACATAAAAGCCATGATGGATTAACATTCCATTTTATATAAATTCTGCTCGGAGACCAAAGTGGGCTATAACTCAGAAACATATATATATATATTTTGTATAAATGTGAACTCAATAATTAGACTGTCTTGAACTTTGAGAGGAAATGGGGGCAGCCGAGGATGGAACCGGGTAGGAACTGGGACAGCTTGGAATAGCAAGAGGAGGACAATGAGAACCACGGACGTAGCTTGTATGAGGGAGTATTTACTAAGTCTTTTTTCCATTACACAAAAAAGGAACAAAACAAAGGATAAAGGGATGTTCCTATAGGAAATTGTCAGGGCACATTTCAAGAAGAATGCTTTTAAAAATCTTTGGTGTGCATTAGAAAAAGTAATATGTGATGTTAGAGCTAATATTTTGTAAGTAATAAACAAATATCAATAAGAGATAATGTAGTTTTTTATTTGATCAACTTTCAAGTCAAAATCACACATCATTTACAGAAGTCATTAATAGTTTCCCTTTAAAAATTGGAAAGTTGAAATGGCAATAGATATACAGGTAAAAACTTCCGTAAGAATTGCAGATAATCTTAATCATTTTTGATAAGAGGTGATGATCAGTTTAGGAAGATCATTTCAAAGGTATCTAGTGAAATGTACATTGGTTATGCTATAGTAATCTTACGAATGCCCAACATTACCTGCAATGTTCTGCCTGAGTATTTTCTTAAAAGCAGGAAATGTGCAGTTAAAGTCATTCCCAAGTTTACTTATTGGATTTTAAATGTCATTTCATCCACTGAAATGTGCAACATGGCCTTCTTCCCTTCATAAATAGACATAACCTTATATTGTTTTTAAGTTTTCCTCATTTATTTTGTTAAGCAACTGCAGCTAGTCAACATCTCACATTACTTTTCACTTTTATTGAATTATTCAAGTTCTCATACACACATTCAACAAACTAAAGATTACCTCAATCACACCACATGCAGCACCCTGAAAATACCTTAGGAAAACAAAAATAATAAAAGCTAAAGTGTACTAGAAAAGTAAATAAATATGTAAATGAAAATGCAGTTAATAAATTCACTGAATATGATAAAAATAAATTAAAAGTGAAGTCTGATTTCCTACTTATTACTATACCCAACATTTATAATAATTTACCCAATAAAATTATGCAATTATACATTTCTGATTATCTGTATAGTTACTGACCTGTTTCATTGCATGGTTTTGCCACTTGTCTAAGATTCAATACAGACAAGAGAAAAATGGGTGTCCCTCTTGAGCAAAACGTGTTATGAATCATAAACATTGTAAATGATTATATACACCAAATGCATTTGGGCAACACCTTTCTCCTTCCTTTACTTTTTAAAAAATACAATACGATCTCCCAACTATTCATGGCTTAGTACACTTGCACACAGCTTGAAAATAATCAAATTCACCGTTTCACATCTTCAGCCTCAAAACAAGCTCTATTTTCAAATTTTAAGGACTAAGATATCTGGAATGTCAATAAGTTCTCTAGCAAATAATTCTATCTAATAAATAAAAATTTACCCTTTAACCAATACATGACCACTGTTTTGTTCAAGAAAGATCTGCACGTTTGTATTTCAAACTGAATGTTCTATACTACCTGACTTTCCCAGAGCAGCAGCATGCATGGGACCAGAATCTTTACAATAAACCTACATGTCACTACTAAAACAGATCTACTACAATCTCTTATGAAGATAATAAATAATCTCACTCTTGATTCAAAAGAATATGCAATATTCTTGTTGTATGATAACTCTTTTAACACTGGAAAAATAGTATTTCAAACCATCAACAACATTTGCAAAATGTTTTGCTGCTTTAGTGATCTTGTAACTTCTAGTTTTGGAGATACAACTGGCCTTGGATGTAAATCAGATTTATGCTTTGCAAGATGCAACAATACCTAAAATAATTTTATCCGATTCTTACGGTATCAAACAAACTGGTAGAGGTCTCTCCACAAACTTCTCAGGAGTTGGGGAAAAGGAAAGGAGAGAATCAAAAGTGTAAAATTTACTTCTCTGAAATGGGCAAGAAATTCCACATTTTAAACACTTTTAAACAGACACCTAATAACTTCACAGTGTTCAAAAACAGGTATGTGTCACATTTCGTGACTGCTCATTGTGCAACATGACCACTTTGAAGTAGGAGGGAAGAAAGGAGTGATTAAAGTAACAGGGCCATCTGTCGAATGCTGTCTTCTATTTTTACAGAGGTAGCAAAGGGAGGAAATCTAACTTAAATCACTGTTTTGGGAGACACATTTGGTATGGCCAGGGTACAGGGCAACACAAGTCAATTTATCATACACAAGGGCCTTTTTTATTTTCTGAACACAGACCCATATGTCCTTCCTGCACATATGCCAATATAGAAGTGCATCTTGAAAACAGACTCCTGTTGTATTGGCATCAATGGACCTTGATAATTATTTTACTTGAGGTGCCAGAACTGCTGCCCAGGGAGTGTTCTATAAGACTGGTCTCATCACAACTCTACATGACCGCTCTTCTTGTCATCTGGAAGAAGAAAAAGGATAGTCAATTAAAATGGGTCACATGTGGACTTCTAGAAATAATAAAAATTAAAATTAAAAAAGCAAAAAGCTGAGCTAAAATAATCTCTATTTGGAAAGTAACTTGGCAAAATTAAAGGAAAGAAAAATGTCTATCAGATCAACCAGATGTATGAAGCAACAGCACAGTACAAAACTGTCTGTCTCAACCACCTGATCAATTCTGTCATGTTTTACTGTTATCCAAAGCTGCATTTCTCCCAACACACCTGATGCCAGCAGGGTGGGTGAACAGCATGTGGATGATAAAAATGACTATGGCGGATGACAGATACGACCAGAAGGGGTTTGGGGGAGTCATCCATGGGGGACGGGGGAGAGCTGGAGAAAGAGTGGAATTCGAGATACAGCAGCTGAGTGCAGACCTAACAATTCTAATTGTATCCTGACTTTCTGGACTACTGTTTTGCATAGGTCATAATCTGTATGTTATCATATAGTCAGTAACTGAATGTCTCTGCATAGGAGAGGCTGAATGGGAGTAGTAGTAGCCTCACCGAGAAAAAGACATAACGATAGAAAGAACCTTGAGAAGGAGAAAGAATGAAAGAGACACCAGTCTTTTTTATCAACTAATTGTTAATTCAGTACTGATGATCTCTAATATACTGCATTTCAAATAAAGTGTTTGTAAGTGAGCTGTTACAGCCTGTGTACTGAAAGAACTATGTGAAAATTAGTACTCTCTTATTTGGATTCTACTTCCACATTCCATATTGATGGTACTCCCTCCCCCAAACTCCAAGGTATTTAAGGGCTACATCCTTTTTTGAGCATTTCAGGTCAATAGGGAAGAAGAAGAAAAAGTAATTTTAAAAAATAAAATAAAAAGTTTATATTTCACAAACCTAAACTAGAAGGAATATAAGAACCCTTTTAATTATTCAAAAACAACAATGCATATTAGTGTAAACATATGACTTACCATCTTCCTCATTTTCTACATCTATATCTTCTTTCCTTCTGTCTTCCTCGCTATTATTTTCTTCCGATTCCTCTTCAAAGATGTAGGGAGAGTCTTCATTCTCCTGTACTTTGGGTTCCTCCTCTGTGGGGAGATAAAATCAATAGTGAGTTCCTCTCTCCCTCTCCCTCTCTCTCAATAAAGGTCTCAATCCAAAACAACAGGTTAAGTACCCTATTTCAAGTTGGAAAAGTAAAATCTAAATCAAATTAACCCAATGACGCAGGGTGTACAAAAAAACAAAACAAAAAAAACTCTACACTCTAGCAAACAAAGGCCAACTTTGAGTGCTTGATTAGGGGACATCAGCCCGAATCACTGGCTCTCTCTGCTTTGGCGTGCCGCGGCGGCGTACAGTCGCATGCCAGCTTTCGAGTGGTTTGTTTACACGCCGATCGGCGTCACCAAGGGGTTAAAGGTAAAATTCTTGATGACCATTGGGCACATTTCTACATGGCTGTTCTACCACAGCTGACGTAGAAATTCCATTCTCTTTAATCACCCACTGATGCTGGGTACGTGAACTGTCTATTGTAGTTTTGTTTTATCAACAGATGGCTTCACAAACACCTAAGTCCCTATTACTAGGCCTACCTGCCTACCTATTTACTACTCTTTGAATTTTTTTGGAAAGGTTTTTATTCATAATGATTTTTTCTTTATAAATGTTGTTATTATGATTACTGACAATAATTTTCATAATGTTATTAATTATATTGGTAGTAATAAATACACCAATCTTTCCCAAAATTCAAGGATAGGTGTATACAGGTGAGATCTGGTAGGCTTACTAATCAACTATGGTGTCATGAATGTGTAAACAAAATCAATATACTAAAAATATGGACACAACATTTATACATGGGTTAATGTAATACTGGCATTCTCTATATAATGCATTTTAAAATGAGTTACCAAAAAGAGTCTTTTAACATTCTTGCGTGAAGTTCCCTACATGACAGAGCATACAGTGCTCAGCAGCCCAAAGAGCCTTTTCCCCTTTGCATCTCTCAGGCTGACCGTAAGGGCAAGCAGGAACTACTGACAAGAACTCACCTGTAACAATTTTCTCATTTGTATCTTTTTGTTCTGTGTCTGGCTTGGTTTCCCCTCCACTTTTATTTTTTGAACTTTTTGAATTGTCTGTGTTATTCTTCTTCTTGCCTGTTTCTTTGGCCTCCTTCTCTGCCTTTGCCTTTGCCTCTGCTGCTTCCTTGTCCTTTTTGGCTTTGGTGATCTTGGCTTTATTCACAAGATATTTGATCTGAAAAGGGAAAAAACAATAAAAAGATGATTAACTCTATCTGGTGCTTTGTAAAAATAACAGAAAATTGGTTGATATCAAAAATCATCTGCTGCATCAACTGCAACACTTTGTGCACTAATCCTACCTCACGATCCAGTGCTCCAAGCTTCTCCCCAATATCGCTCAACTTCAGCTTTGGTTCGTCAGAGGATGCCTGTGCCTGCTGTTGCTCCTCCTTGTCCTCCAGCCATTTCTGGAGGAATGAAAACATGAAAATTTCTTTCATAGCTAGAATGTATTTACACATTCACCAAGATTATTTCATGGTGCATAAAAAGTTTTTGCATCTTACATGCAAAGATTTTAATTTCTGGCAACCTGAGACATACCACACAGCAGACTACAAATTACTAAGTTTCCAAGTTTCTAAATGTAATTTGTCTCCATGGTTAAGAAAGGTAACTAAAGACTGAAGATCTTTTTGGAAGACCATTTTCTTACTTTAGTTTGACTGTACTTACAAATGCACAAATCATATCCATAGAGGACACAACAGAAATGTACCTTGGTAAATATATATCAAACAAGAACAAAACACATTGTATAAGGCAAGTGGATACATCATGATGACTACTGCAGGAGGTTACCTGATATTACTCATCACATTTAGTTTCCCAAGAGCAGCTCACCCATTTCCATTTTATAAGCAAGATACCATCTCTGATAAATCATTTTTGGCTTTACTCTCAGTATTTCATCTCAATCTATTTTATGGCTTATAAAGTATATAAAGCAATAAATATTTATATCTACCACCAATAACTTTGTGGCTGATACTACTCTAGATTAATGATATTTAGCACAAAATATGCATTACCAGTGCTTTGCCAGTTTTTTCCCCTAAACCACATGTTATGAAAACCAACTGCTCTGCATATGTCCTGCCCTGTGTTTAACAGACTAGCAAGGTCCAACCTGTACTTAAATACAAAACATTTTCAAGCATTCTGGCAAAACTTTACAATGACAAACCTGGGTATCCACAATGAGTTTATCCATGGTGTCAATCTCCACATCTGTGAAGAACTGCTGCTCTGGGGGCGCATCTCTGGCTCGCTGCACAAACTCGGATGACTTGTTCATCATGTCCGTCAAGGCCTAGGGAAGAGCAGCATTTAAACTGGAGCCCTAGATCTGTCTCCCTTTTCTCTCTATCTATCATCATCTGTTTCTTCTCATTTCTATCAATCTATCTATCATTATCTGTCTCTTCTCATTTCTCAATCTATAAATCATTCTCTGTCTCTTTTCCTTTCTCTAATTATCAATCCTTATCTGTTTCTTCTCATTTCTCTAATCATTAATCCTTATCATCATTATGGAATAAAACATTTTGAGTTTGAATTGAATTTAAATCATTACTCCTTTTCTCTATTCCCCTCTTTCTTATCTCTACCAATCCCTCTCTATCTCTATAGGATTCTCTTCATCTATTTATCTTTCTCTTCCCTTTCTTCCTCCCTCAGGTGTTTTCTGCTTTTTCTCTCTCTTTTTTCAATTTCTTTAGAAGATCCTCTTAAAAATAGTCTGGCTAAAGCTGTCATTTCTCAGCTTTAGTTAGTTATTATTTGAGTACTGTGTCTGAATCCTGCCAGTTTTCCTATCATATTTCTTATTGTGGAAGAGGAAGTAGAAAAGTACAAAATAAACAGGAATGAAATGAGGAAGGAAGAAGTTGAAGAAGAATAAGATGAAGGAAGAAGAGGAAGAAGAAAAGGAAGCAGAAGATGCAAAAGGAGAAAAGGAGAAAAGGATAAAAGAAAAAAAAGGAGGAGAAAGAAAACAAGGAGGAGGAGTGAAAGAAAAAGAAAAGAGGAGGAGGAGGGAAAGAAAATGAAAGGAGGAGGAGGAAAAGAAGGAAATGAAAGGAGGAGGAGGAAAAGAAGAAAAAGAATATAGAGGAGAAAAAAGAAAAACAAGGAGAGAGAAAAAGAATAAGGAGAAAAAGAAAGAAAATGAAGGAGAATAATGAAGAGGGGGAGAATAAAACAACAAAAGACAAAAACAAGGAAGAGTACAAGGAGTAAAAAGGGAAGAAAAAAAAAGGTAAAGAAATAAATGAATCCTACTCCGCTACAAAATTAGTCCAGCAACCTTGGATATGGATAAAACCCACATTTCACAAAGGAGAAGTATGCAAGAGATCATTAAGAAGCAGAAGCCATAGGGGAACCACGACGACAGTAGTTGTTAATCCCTGAACCTATGTAACGTAGCCTGAGGCCTGATCTAATGCGCAAGTCCCCAGTGACAACAAAAGTAAAAAACAGCCAGAGTAAAAGGAAGAATAGTAACCATCCGAGCAGTCTACACGCCAGAAGAGAGAAGAAAACAAACGGGAGGAGATTGGCTATTGGTAACTTGCATGCATATCTGATATTCCTTCCTGTGCTAAAGTTCTCCCTCTTCTTTTTTTTTTTTCAGTAATATGATGAATTTACAATTTAATGGTATACTGATATGGGATATGAAAACTATATAAACTGAATAGCTTTTTATTTCACTTTAGTCAAAATATTTACATACTGCTTATGTCTTTATATCAAATGTGCTAAAAATATATGTACATCTAAGCAACATCTTTACAACTATGTAATTATTTACAGCAATCACACTTGAATCTTGTCTAGCACAGGAAGGAATTAAGGGAAGGGAAGAGGGGGAAAAAAAAAGGGGGGGGGGGGGGGGACGGGAATGGGAGAAAGTACTATCTTTCATTCCTTTGATTTCGTGAAGCGCGATTACGCAATTTTGCATCCATCGGTGGTTTGCGGTTAGTTTGCCAAGCTGAGGGATCAACAGCCCTCATGTTCCTCCTAAGAACTCTACCTTTGCCCTTGAGGTATTCTATAAAAGGGGACAAGCAAGACCAGAGACGGGTCTGCAGTGCAAAAAAGCGTGTGAAAAAGTTATTGTGGCCGCCCTTTTCTCTGGCTTCGTGTGAACACGTGTGCGAGTCTATCTTTAACTTTTGGTCCCAGTAATGCACAAGACCTAAACAGAGTGCACAGATTAGTAAGAGAAACAAATATATCAAAATCGTTTCAGTTCTTGCCTGGACAGCTTCCGGCCGGTTGAGGTGCTCAAACACACGCTGCTTGATTGGCTCAAACAGCTTGGAGAGCTCCTTTAACCTCTCCTTGTAGACAGAAGCCTCCACATCTGCCCCTTCATCGTAGATCCACTCATCAAGCTGAGAGGCAGAGAAGATAATAATAAAAAATATGCAAAAAATATAAATAGTATACATAAAATAATTATATAACATTAGAATATAAATGAAATAAAATTATTCAGACAACCTTCAACAATTTTTTCTTTTAATCCAAAAAATTCATTGAAAAATTAAATAAAATACACAAGTAAATGAACAAAAATAAACAAATTCATACTTGTGCTAAAAGACATGCATGCATGCATGAACACATGCAAGCACAAAAGACTTAAATCAGGTAATCACTATCTACTGCATAAGTGTGGCACCATATATATGTAAAGAGGTATTCTTGCCATCCCAGAATTAGTATGTTAACACGTGTGGAAGGCCCTTTCTATACAGGAAGTATACCTACCGTAGAGCACATTTCCCTGATGGCTGCCCTTTGTTCGTCCGTGGAGGCCTGTTCATAGTCATCCTGGTAGAGCTTGTCTTGTGCATCCAGGATGTAGCTCTCCAGGTTGTTGCGTGCAGCTTCCCTCTCGTGCCGAGCACGTTCAGCTGCATTTATGTCCTCCAACCTTTGAAAAAATTCCAGTTAGGTTTCAAAGGTAGTTGCAGATAGAGAATGTAATTTAGACCCTAAACAGGAGGCAGAAGGTAACAAGGTGGCTCTCTCAGGTGGGAAAGTTCCACCTATCTTGGACACTACATTACACCACCTGCTCTCCCTTATCAGGTAGTAATATTACACCATCAGCCATTGAAAGGTTAAACTACTAGAAAAGTTATAGAAAGAAAATAATTCCTCCCTTTAAAAATAGAATAAAACTGTTAAATATATATAAATATGAGGATTACACATAACCCTCAAAAAAATAAGATGTGGCACAATTCTTTATTTCCTTATTTACTTGTAGTAACTTAAAGGAAGACAATGGAGGTGCAAAAAATACAATCAAAACTAATCCGGGATCAAAGTTTTCCCCAACTCACTTTTTCTTGGACGCGGCCACTTGTTCCTCCGTCATTTCTGGGACGTCCAAGGTGGGTGATGGTCATGTTCAGCTCCTCCTTGACTGTGATCTGCTTTGGCTTCAGCTCCTTCTCGCCTTCCTTCTTCTTGTCTGTGCCTGATTTCTTATCCTCCTCCTCTTTCTCTTTCTTGTCTGTCTTTTGGTCATCTTTCTTGTCTTCCTTGTTCTCTTTCTTGGCCTGATTGTCACTATCTTGCTCCTTTTCTGTGTTGTCTTCTGTCTTGTTTTCCTTGCCCTCTGCATCTTCACCTTCTTCTTTCTCTCCACCTTCCCGTTCTTGTTCTGTTCCTGATGAACAATAAATTAATAAAACAGATATAGTCTACAGAATTTACCATCACAGGTAAATCAAAATTTGATCACAAACCCTAGAATTATCAAAATATCACTTTAAATATATGATGTCACTAAAAAAGCAACTTTTTAACAATTGGTTCTTTGGGTATTCTTCTTCTTTACATCTTGCTTTTAACATAACATTCGCAAACTCCTTTCCCTCACATAAATCCACAAAGTATCTCTACATCTATCTACAACACAAAAAATTCCAGTTAGGTTTCAAAGGTAGTTGCAGATAGAGAATGTAATTTAGACCCTAAACAGGAGGCAGAAGGTAACAAGGTGGCTCTCTCAGGTGGGAAAGTTCCACCTATCTTGGACACTACATTACACCACCTGCTCTCCCTTATCAGGTAGTAATATTACACCATCAGCCATTGAAAGGTTAAACTACTAGAAAAGTTATAGAAAGAAAATAATTCCTCCCTTTAAAAATAGAATAAAACTGTTAAATATATATAAATATGAGGATTACACATAACCCTCAAAAAAATAAGATGTGGCACAATTCTTATTTCCTTATTTACTTGTAGTAACTTAAAGGAAGACAATGGAGGTGCAAAAAATACAATCAAAACTAATCCGGGATCAAAGTTTTCCCCAACTCACTTTTTCTTGGACGCGGCCACTTGTTCCTCCGTCATTTCTGGGACGTCCAAGTGGGTGATGGTCATGTTCAGCTCCTCCTTGACTGTGATCTGCTTTGGCTTCAGCTCCTTCTCGCCTTCCTTCTTCTTGTCTGTGCCTGATTTCTTATCCTCCTCCTCTTTCTCTTTCTTGTCTGTCTTTTGGTCATCTTTCTTGTCTTCCTTGTTCTCTTTCTTGGCCTGATTGTCACTATCTTGCTCCTTTTCTGTGTTGTCTTCTGTCTTGTTTTCCTTGCCCTCTGCATCTTCACCTTCTTCTTTCTCTCCACCTTCCCGTTCTTGTTCTGTTCCTGATGAACAATAAATTAATAAAACAGATATAGTCTACAGAATTTACCATCACAGGTAAATCAAAATTTGATCACAAACCCTAGAATTATCAAAATATCACTTTAAATATATGATGTCACTAAAAAAGCAACTTTTTAACAATTGGTTCTTTGGGTATTCTTCTTCTTTACATCTTGCTTTTAACATAACATTCGCAAACTCCTTTCCCTCACATAAATCCACAAAGTATCTCTACATCTATCTACAACACAAAAGAAAAAAATAAAATAAAGAGGTCCCAGAAACTCCACTTATGAAAGCAGTCACCTCCACTTCCTAGGTCACCACTGTAGCATTGCCAATATACTTCCTAAAACAAGAGTCAAAACTGGTGGTTCAGATATTAGGAACACTGAAGTGGTGGTGTACTTGGAAGTGGAGGGAACAGCATGATCAACCTCCTCCCCAGGAAAAATATCAAAAATACTTTAGTCATCACATGCCCACAATGAAAGATAATGATAAAGGGAAATCTGAATTGAAACCACTATGACCATTCAGAGTAAGGAGATAAAATAGCTTGTGATAACAGAGTGACTACATTGTTCCCAGTGCAAAATCACAGCCACCTCAAAGAAGTCAGGATGTCTTTAGAACATGAAATTTACCAATAAATTCTAAATAAACAAAACATATTTATAAAGCACATATGCCTGTGGAAACAAACATCACACAAATTCTTTATTCAGATGTGCATGTCTTTATAATATGTATTACTTTATCTTTTCTGGTTCAATATCAGCGTTTGGGTTCAATAGTTCATCTACGTATCAATAATTTCAACTATTTCAGCCTCCTGACTTCCCTGCCATGCCATACCCCTCACCTGCAAAGAGCTTACTGATGGTGCTACCAAGTTTTGAAAGCGTTGACTCCTCCTCTTTGGGTTTGTCTTCTTCTACCAGCACGCTCTTCTCGAATACGGCCTCCATCATGCTCAGAGCCAGCACTCCTGAGTCATCCATGTTGAAATGAGCCTGTGATATGGAAAATAGCTAGTTCATAAAGGCCGCCTCTTAACCTCAAAACAAAACTACAAGGAATACTTAAAGCACAGAAAAAAAATTAAGATGTGTGCTAAAAATAACCAAGAAAAATACAGTTCATATAACCGAATTCCAACAAATTCAGCTGTATCAATGATTTTATACCTTGATGCCCTTGGGCTCACTGCCCTCCTGCTGATGCTTCTGGAAGGCAGAAGTAACTCCTGAGACCAGCACATGGGAGATATTCTCTGCATTAGCATTCCTGTAATGAAGGGAAATGCAAGCTTCATTAAATGCAAGGCTCACTGGGATATCCTAAAAGGAAATCCTCTATTTGCACACATGCACACACACAAAAGTAGGGATTCTTCTTATTAAATCTCTACACAACCATCTTTATAACATTGATCCCATGTACATGACACCAAATGTCCATATGCTTTTCAAGGTTCTAGTTTTCCAGAAATTTAAAAAGCAAGACACTAAAGTTTGAAAACAGGAAAAAAAATTAACAAAGAGGAAAAAACAAGAGGAGGAGGAAAGTGAAATGAAAGTGGAGCAGAGGAGAGTAGAAGAGGAGGAAAAGGAAAAGGAAGGCAAGCAAAGAAGGAAGGAAGGAAGAAGGAAGAAACTAAGAGAAAGAGAAAGACAGGAAAAAGAAATGGTAATAATAGTAGAAGAGGATGATGACAGCCAAGAAAATTAACATATGATAATGAGTAAAAGGGAATAGGAATAGAAATAGAAAAGAAAAAATAAGGCAGAAGTGAAGCAGACACACAAAAACTAAATTGCACTCACTTGAGCTCCTCCTTGGAGAGGTGAGAAAGGTCCCCATAATTGACATAGAAGCTAAAGTCTGCATTATGCTTGTTGAAGGTCATAACTTTCTTCTGTGGGTAGTTGTTGCCAAATGCAAAGAGGGAGCGCTTCACCACCTTGGTTGAGGTGGAGCCATCATCATTCTCCACCTGGCGCTCAAAGTCAACCTGAACAGGTGCATGTGGAGATCAGTAAAAGGTTGCATATTTGGTCATCACACATGGGTGTTCCAATTACAATAAACATTGTCTACTTTATAACCTTTATAAGAATTCTAAATAAATTCTAAAAATGCCCTACATCTAAGATATGAGGTAAAACAAGGATGCACGATTTTATAAAAATAGGAATTAAGAGAAACGTCACTTTCAAGTTTCTAGTACGCAAACTCAACCTTTACCTATATATCATAGTCTACCTTGAAAATAATTATGGAGGAGGAGGAAAGCATGTAGAAACAAAAATATGATGGACATTCAAAAGATCTCTACTTGGTCTTTATGTTTATAAGAATATAATATTCAGTCTCCAGAAAAAATAACTACTTTTTCAACTACATCATATTGAACTGCAGTCTATTATCCTCATGTTTTTCCTTAATTACTATAAAAGATGTTACACAATACATATAACTGGCCAGTTTTTATTAAATTTAGTGAAAGTATTCTTCAGTTATTATGGGTCATTACAGAAATTATCACAATTTCCAATTTGCTAGAATCACAGAATAAACCACAACACTGTGCATGATTTAAGGATAAAAGGTGCACTGACTAGAGGCAAAAGGAACACTTTTATCTATGCACAAAACAAGATTGCATGCTTAAAAGTATGTGCCACCTCACATCAGAAGTGCTAACATGTCTAAAACAACTAAAAGTTATCTTGACCCTCACCAGCAAATAAAGAGAAACTGCTTTTTAAGCTTTCACTATACATCATTTCATATGCTTGTACAATTCCTATTAGCAATAGGCAATTCTCATGCAGTAAAATAAAGGTAAGGTACACTTTCACATGCTCTCCTCCTGTGTCTGCTTGTCACACCACGTTCTAACCAATGCGGAGATGAGAACACATGGTGTTCCCAGTAGTATTATGTGGAATTTACTTACATATAGATGGCTCCACAAATGCTTAGCCACCAAAGAATCAATTAGTAGGTCTACATGACCTCACCTTACTTCCCTTTCCTGGAGTTTTCAGGATTTTTATTCTAATGCTTTCAATATAATTGTTGGTATTATTATTATTCACTTTATAATTATCAAAGTTCAATAATCCTTGCCACAGGGTGGCATGTACATGCCACCCAGTGGATTATAAGACCGTGGTAATTATAATGTCAATAATAATAATACCAACAATTATATTGAAAGCATGCCTGGACTATATTCCTGGTGATGTGTATACATGACATGGGCACACGTATGGTCATGTCGCGCATCCTATGGCAACGACACAATCCCCCAGCAGTGAGGCCCACACCACTATGAATACAACCCAGGAGAGAGGGATTTCGTATTGGGAAACCACCTGGCGGCATTGGCTTGACCCATTCGCCACACGTGGCAAGAATAGATGCCATGCCCACTTTGAGACACGTTTATTTATTGTATTTACACATAGATGGCTCTACAAGTTCTTAATCAACAAATAGCCAATTATCAAGAACTACCTATTTCACCTGTTTACCCTTTTCCTTCACTTTAGGAAAGGGATTTTTGTATCATTTCATTGTCTAAAATATTCTAATGGCTATTTAATAATCACAACATCAGTAACAATAATAACAGTATCAATAGCAATGCTATTAATTTCCCCGCCAATTAAATGAATGGGAAAATCAGGGTCGGTAACTAGGGCCTACTGATAGACTCCTTGCCGGCTGAGTACATGTGGAGCCATCTGTATGTAACAAAATTTACCAAAAACTACAGAGTACAGAACATAAATACGGGGCGAATGGGTTAACAATACTAAACAAAAAGCAAGTTTTCCAAAACATAAGGAAATGGATAAACAGGCAAGATAAGTAGTATTGATAATTGATTTCTTGGTGACCAAGCACTTGTGGAGCCATCTATATGTAAATACAAATAGTAGACTAAACCTACAGTGGTCAAGACATCCCTGGTGGAATTAGGTTAATATACCTCAATCTGTCTGTCTCAGACTGCATTAGTCAATCAGTCTGTGGTCTCTAATGTTTTTCTCAGTGTACCTATGGTCTCTATTTATCATATATACATTTCAGAGAGGATATTTTGGACTGTTTGCAGTGGAATAGACAGTTTCAAAAAATATAAAAAACACAAGGGAATAAAGAATCCCCTTGTCATTAAGATTCCTTCTTCTCTAAATACATCCCTAAACTAAAAACTCCATAAATATTCAGCTTATTTACAGATATCTAGACATCTATAAACTGCTTTGCTAACATCTATCAATCATTATTTTTTAGACTACTTTATAAAATCTAAATTCCACTGACCAAAGGTAAAATTTTATTTGCATATAGAGCTATATTCCTTCCATTTAATCCCATTTTTATCTTCCCTTGGCACTGGTAGCTTGTCTCTACAAATATTCATTCCTGTCACAAATCAAGCAATTATTTGTACCAACACCTGATACGATAAAAGCAAACTCCACACATTAATCCAAAGAAGATTTCCTCTCTCACCAAATGCAAAACCTTCTTAAGGATTCCGTCAAAGAAGCCTCCTTTCTCTCTCTCTCTCAACGTGTAATCATACTTGGCATGTATCTACATTTTAGGAAAGTGAAAAAAATGTTGAGTTTTCTCTAACCCAACTGATAAAAAAAGGTCCATTTTGATTGATTTTCAAGCAAATTATATATTCAGACCTTCTAGGTTGACATGATATACATTTCTTGAGATAACAAATGCTACAAAAAAAAAAAAAAAAAAAAAAATAATTAAATCCTAATTTGCAGGTATTCATGGAACCCCCTTTTTTCTACTATTTTCAGTATTTTCAATGTATACCAAGATCCTTTTTGTTAATTATCCAAACCTCATAAGAAAATAAATTTAGAAGATTCCTGTACACAAGCTGGAAATACAAACTGCATTAGTAATTTACAGGAAAATGAAAGCATGCAAAAAGACAAGGGCTCCTAAAGTAACATCAATAGAGCTTGCTATTCCTAGCTTAATGAACCTGCTGGTTATCATAAACTTGAACAGGTGACTAGTTACCTCAATAGGGAAGACAACTGCTTCTTTTACGTGGAACTTCTTAACCTTAAAGCCCTGACCAAGGTCAGCTGCACGATAGACTGCCCCCATCGCAGCTGCTTCATCAGCATTGATGTTTTTGCCAAGCTCTCGACCCCAAACGCCTTGCAGGATAGACTGAATTTTGGGTATTCTGGTTGCACCTCCAACAATGATGAACTGTTAGGGTGAAAGGATAGGGAATAATTAAGAGAATCTATGCTGAATCTAGAACTGAAAATAATATTAACAATAATATTATTAAAATTGGATACCTTCATAATCAATAATCTTCAGCATTCAGAATTTGAGAAGACCAAGTATTCTGCAGTTTGCCAGAGAAATGCTGCAAAAAATATTACTGAAGCTACTGCTTACCTGATCAATTGCCGAGATGTCCATGGCAGCAGAAATCAGTGCAGCATCAATAGGAGCTTGAACCCTTTCAAACAATTCTGTGCACAGCCCCTCAAATTCTTCTCGACTTACATGTAGTCTAAAGTCTTCTTCATCAAGAAGTCCTTCTATCTGTATTTCAAAAGCAAGTTACAAAATTAGGTTTCATATCAAAGAACATAGGGTGTATTTGGGGTTTATCATGCACACCTATTCACTCATCATCTTGCAACATCATCACTGACCTGACTCAGATGATCAGAATTTGCAGAAAGAACTTTCTTTAATCTGCCAGCTTCCTTCATGAGCTTCGCCAGAGCACGGGGAGATTCCAAAACATTGTTTGGAGTCTTCTTAATTTCATTGAATTTCTTGGCTAAATGATCCCGGAGGCGCATTTGCATTTCCAGTCCGCCTAATGTACGATCATAACTGAAAATTCATGGCAAACTATAAATCTTGATCCATAATGCTGATTTAACACATACATTAATTTATACATGGACTGTTATATTCTTTCCACTTACAGGAGTACCTAGATTTCCTTTAATACAAACTGAATCCTAAATTGCCACAATACAGCTAAGTTTAAACAAACTGCAGTAAAACTTACCCTAACCCTAGTACAGTGACTTGTGGATTGGTCTCTGTGTATCCTCTGTCCTTTGTTTTAACCGTCTGATAAGAGACAATGGTTGCTATGGTTGATGAGGCTCCCATGTCATAAAAGAGGATGTTATGGGCTGTAGCATTGATCTCTTTTCGTCTGAACATACCATAGTTCAGGGCAACTGCTGCATTGGTCGACATAAGGGACAGAACCTAAATCAAAATAAAGGTAATAATCAGAACCGTTTTCATCCCCTTATGGCATATTTAATGTTGGAAAATTCTGTCACATTTCCATAACCTCATGTGATAATAAATAATACCAAAAATTGGTTATCAAATTTGATAAAAACAAGGGTAGTATGCTGTTGATTCTCCTACCTTCAGTCCAGCCAGCTCAGCTGCAGTCAGCATGGCTCTGCGCTCAACTTGGTTGAAGAAGGGAGGGACTGTGATTACACAGTCCTTTATCCTTTGCTCAGTGTGGGCCATTGCCATGTCTTTGGCATAGGCCAACATCTGAGCTATCAACTCCTCCACTGTGTAAACTGTGTCACTGGCAGGAAAAAAAATGATGTAATATCAATTGCATAACACAACAGATAAATGAAAATATACCTATAGCTCATGACTTGGGATCACTGTTTATCATGCGAAAACAACTTCTAGGGAGTTTATTCTATATTTTTATGGCCTTGATTTCTGGTAACAGGTGGAATGGTCTAATTTTCGTTGTCTTTTTTATGACAAATCTTTGTGGAAAATAATGAAAACTTATTTTCTTAGTCTGGTCTGTATTAAAATATTTTTTAACTAAAGGAGAGTAATAACTAATTTTTACATTTGTTATTTGTTGTTCACTCTTCCCTATCTCTGCCATGAAGTAATACTTACTCATTATGTCTGAATACAACAGTTCCTCTCTCAGGATCAGCTTCAATGTTATAAAAGGGGAACCGCTTTTTATACAGTTCCACAATAGGGTTGTCTATTTTCTTTCCCAGCAAGTCAAGAAGATAGAAGTAGTTATTTGCTGGGAAGCGAATGCCAGTTGTTAGGGCATCCTCTCCAAATGTTCGCTCTCCATTTCGGAAGGACAGGGCTCCTGGGGTCTTCCTTTTAGACTCTTTGTTTAGGACTATTTCCATGGGGACTCCCGGCTGAAAGAGCAATTGCATGTGCCTCATTCTTTTCTCCTAAATCTTACAAATGTGACTAGCCACAAATTATTTCAATCATGCCAAGAAGCCAGATTAACAACAGCTACTTACCGCTACAACAGCAACCTTTATCCACTCTGACCCAAAGTCGATGCTCATAATGGTGACACCACTGGAGCTTCCTATGACCCCTAATAACACTAGAAGGGACAAGCCCATTGTCCATCGCACATCAGGCACCATCATTGTTGTGTCTGCAACAGAATTTGTCATTAGCGAAACTTTTTTGAGGAAACATGATATTCTAATAATGTACTCTTACATATACATATTCCTAAAAATAAAATCAAGATGACTGACGCTTGAATGCACTACTAGGATTATGTTTTTTGAATGGAAAGAAAAATACAAGAAAATTACTATCATGACAGATAGTAATATGAGAAAAATTGTGGAATGAAATGTAATCCAATATTGATAATGTGTAAGACTGCAAATATTTTCTGGCATTATACCCAATATTCTCTAGAATGCCAATCTACAGAACTTCCCAAAACCCAAATTATAATCATACATCATGCAATCTTGATTAATGCCTTGCACACTGTCATATTTGCCAACATTAGATTATGTAGGCAGCATAAAAAGTTATAAAGAAAAAGTGCACAATTATTCACTCATAAGAATCATTAGCTCAATGCCACTTACATGCCATGCCCAATGTGAGTTTGGTTTATCTATTATTTTTACACACACATGGCTCTATAAGAGATAATTAGTAGTGCTATCTCACTTGTTTACCCTTTTACTGCTATAAGTAATGTTAATAACATTATAATAGTTATATTATTATAATAATAACATTGATATTGATACCATTTGTTTAAAAAAAGGGGAAAAAAAAGAACGAAGAAGAAGAAGAAGAAAAAAAAACGCAAAGTCACAAGTTTTACCAATTTACTCCTTGATCGCTAAGCATTTGTGGAGCAATCTTTTCTAGAAACATTTCCCAAAACAATACTACAATGAAAATTACATTTTCCTGGCAGCATTGGATGAATGTAAAAAAAAAAAAAAAGAACAATGAATTTCCTTTTGCACAACTTATTCTTAATTCATTTTTCTTAAAAAGCAATGCAAGAAGCCATAGAGAGTAAGGTGAAAAGCTTCACATAAACAGAAATTGCTGGTGTATCCAGACATAGTAATATTGGAACCTGTGACTACCATTTACCTTCCTTTCTGTTGATTAGGCTAACTTCTATGTGTCATTTCAGTTCCTGTATATTGTACTACATTTTATTTTACTTTATCTTCACATGACCCTTGTGTACAAAAACCTACAGAAATTCCTGAACAATACCACTGAAATACTCATCATGATGTGTTGGTTCTTCATGATGGCTATAGGCATGCCTGGTTATAAGAGGTTAACAACCAAGGAAAGATTATATTAACTCAATGCTGAAGAGTGGTTTCCCAATACAAAAGCCCACTCTCCCAGACCATAAATGAACCCTGGAAAACAGCACAAGCAAAACATGTCACGTATGCACATGTCAACCGGAATGTAGTCTAGGCATGCATGTACGTACATGACATCGATGGGAAACAGGTTAACGCTTATACTGGCAAGTTGTATGGATTACTGAAATACCAATATAATGTGATACATTCTAGTAAGCTTTGCTAAAATACAAAAATGAATAAAGTATTGGGATTCCCATGAGAAATGCCCCAGCTTGTTATGTTAAATCTCCCTTCCCACACTAGGAACTAGGCACATTCTTACACTTTGTGTATCTTAAACATTATGGGCTAGAAAATATTTTGAAACAGATGTACATACACTAATCAAAGAATAATTTATATTTTGTCATTTATTATCCTTGTTATAAAACCATATGAATAAAATAGGCTTTATAATATACTCATTTTTAAAAATATTTTTTTAACCTACAATAGCATCCCAGGTGAGGGTACATAGGCCTACTAATTTACTCCTGATGGCTGAGGACTTGTAAATCTGTTTATATAAATTTCACAAAAAAAGAAAGAAAGAAAGAAAAAACTACATGGTCTACATCGTTCTCTAAAAAATCCGTATCTATAAGACCTTATACAATTTAGAAATACAGTGGGGTGAGGAGAGAATGTTAAGATCACAAAAATTACAAAATATTACTTTATACTGGAACCTAAATGCCTCAGCAGTATATAAATTAATAGTTAATAATAGTTAATTATGCAGTTATGGAAAAAAATGACTAAGGGCCAAGGTGATATGAATATGCTGTGAGGGAGAGGGAGAGGGAGAGGGAGAGGGAGAGGGAGAGGGAGAGGGAGAGGGAGAGGGAGAGGGAGAGGGAGAGGGAGAGGGAGAGGGAGAGGGAGAGGGAGAGGGAGAGGGAGAGGGAGAGGGAGAGGGAGAGGGAGAGGGAGAGGGAGAGGGAGAGGGAGAGGGAGAGGGAGAGGGAGTAGCTGGATCAAAAAGGTCAAAGAAAATCATATTTTCTCATTCTATAAAGTGTAATCAACTGAATAAAAGTTAAACTGCCAGCAAAGCTCACAGGTTAGGAATGTCTTTGATTCATAAGGAATCTCGTTTAATTGCATTTACACATAGATGGCTACACTTGTACCAAGTCACCAATGAGCCAGTTATGAGTACTACTTGTCTTGCCAGTTCATTCTTTTCATTTAATTACGAAAATATTTTACGTTATCTTATTTTGCTGGTATTAATATTTATAACATTATGGTAATTATAACGTTCATAATAAAAATAACACCATCGATATTCATAGTATTAGTAAAACATACGTTTTTCCTGCCAATTCAAGGAAAGGTGAAATCAGGTAAGGTATCAAGATCTACTAATCGACTCTTTTGTGGCTAAGCACTAACTTATAAAAAAAATGAGCACAGCATTTTCCCCATTTTTTTACTAATTTTCCCCGGCAGCAATGGGTTAGCTGACATAAGTAAAGGATAAAAGTGCAATCAGATATTGTGGCAAGATAGGACATCACTGTTTCAGTTTCATACTACCATATGGTACAATTTAAATTTTGCCTGTAATGGAGAGAACGACAGAAAAAAAGACTTTTCACCCATTGTATTTTCTTTGTGAGTTGATAAAAAAGTTATGTAACACACAATCCTTTGTTATAATCTGCACAGACAAAGAATAACAAGATGTGAAGAATATAGGTCAAGACAAAGGCCAGACAGCGAGTAAGTCCACACAACTGGAGTGGGTGGGTATGGGAGGCCGAGCCCAGGATAGCAAAATACAGCAGTTAGGTGGGGGTCTCAGGGGCAAACGGTAGGTAGGTGTTTGATTCATATGGAGATTTCTGTGGATCCTATGGACTGGCTGGAGTAATTGGGGTCAATATGTAGTATAAGGTAGTGGCAGAGTTGGGTAATAAAACCTACATGAAATGATAGAACAATACAAACCAAACCAAATTCTTCTATCTTCTATACTACATATTATCCGTCATTGGGACTAAATCTCGAAGGGGTGTAGTAACTTCGTAAACAATTACCAATAGTCTACTTTCAATTATGTAATTTACAGTGGAAAACGAGATTAATACACATTATACAATGAATAACTGAAACAAGGAATAGTAATTGTAAAGTTGATGGCTGTGTCAAACTAAAAAATTATCGAAAGACTTTCAGACCTTTTCATCAAATGCAGCTCTACAAATCCTGTCCAATTGACAATATTGAGCAGTACAGTTGAACCTTACAATTTTCAGATTGTAATAGGTTTGTGTAGTCATAAAACCAGTTGAAAGCATTACCAAAGGAAATTTGCAAAACCATACATGGGTTTGTTAGGAAGTTGCTGCTGGTGTGTAACAGCTTCCAATCTGGTTCATAATTTCACAGGAAAATTCACTATGAAATGCTTTACGAAATTGTTTAATGGGTCTCATGCAATAATGCTGCCTTGAAATACCATGTAGTAATACATAAGTATAACCCCAGACACCTTGTTCCCCACTCACAACCAGACCCCTCACCCCATGCGTAATATACACTCTTTTCAACCCTTTCCCTACTTTATCTTTCCTCTGCATCAGCTGATCCCAGACTGCAGTGTCCCTCCCATTCTCGCGCATTCCCTCGAGTCCTCCTCGAACCAAGCTTCCTTTCCCCACGCCACCATCCCCCCCAAGCTCCCCGTGGTCTCAGCTGGACGTCAAAATAATAATAAAGTGCACAGACATTCGCCTGTCAGGAGGGTTGTGCTTGCATCTCTTCCTCTCCCCTTCTCTGTCTCCCAAGCCCCTTTAGCCCCATCCTCTCCAGCCCCCGCACACGTGGACCTACCTCCTTTCGCCCAAGAGGAGAGTCTCGAAGCTGTTGCTCTCCCGTGGCAGCAGTGGTTTCCTGACAGCGTGCTCGGAGGAGGGCTGAGGTGTCCCTCGCCGGCCGCTCTCGTGTGGCGGCGCCTGATTGGCCGGCCGCCGGCGCCCGCTTTGACTTGC